TTCACATCACAACACCTCCAGATCACAAGTAGATTTACGTAAGACATACATATGTCAAATTTTCCTCGACTACACAACCTTACACAACGTTAACTTAAAATACAGTACGTTCATCGCAGATCCCTGACGGATCTCATCATACCAGGAAAATATGCATATATGACTGGATGATCCGGTAATATATATGCTTTATGTATCCATAATTCATAGTAAATACATATTTTATGGAAAGACAAATAAAAATTACTATTGTAAGTTATTATTTAAATATTTAATAAGTCAATATTAACTGCTGTTCATTTTAACTATGAGAAACCAATAGTCAATATGCTTTTCCAACATACTAATTTTAGTTGCTGATGGAATAAGTTCACCCCTAACTAAAGTTGATGAGTAAGTTAGTAGTTACAGGTCTACATTTTAATATATTCATGGCAAATTAAATATTGACAAAGCTAATTAATTTGAATTGGAATAAGTTTTATCTAAGTTTCATAATACTTTCTGTAGTAAAATACTGTTTATAGTTTATCTAAAACCACATACTCATACATGTATACAAATATAAAACACTACGTAATAGAGACTACAACATTATCTAACCCCACCCAGACCAATGTTCTGGAGTACACTGAAGTTTTTAATGCGGTATAGTACTTTATATAACTTACTGAAAGTACATTACTTTACTTAAAATTACTATTGTTTTGTAGATCCAACAATTACCAATAGTATTTACAAACTAATAAGATTATACTTATTTTGATTTTATTTTGAATAACTTTTTGGTTTTACTTTTGAATAACTTTTTGGTTTTACTTTTGAATAACGTATAGGATGGATTTTTTTTTTAATTCATTAGGGAGTGAGTGCCATACACAGGATCCATTTATTTGCTTTGAGTGTTTGCACAGATTTAGTCAGACTCTGGGGATATGAAAGATATATTTATTTCTGGTTTGGTGCTCCTGGTTTCTATTATTATCAAGGAAGAGTTTCAGATCAGGATTAGCATACAGGAATAAGGATTATAGCACAAAGAAATCACAATATCCTGTGCATCAAATGAACAAATCCACAAGGGCCGTGACGAGGATTCCAATCTGTATCTGAGAGCTTCCCAGACGCTGCCTTAATCAACTGAGCCCGACATGGTAAAAGAATTGCAACCAGAAATTCTACTGAATTTATTTGGATCCTGCAGCCTCTCCAAGACACAAACCAGGATTTTACGCAATTCCCCCATGGTCTCGCGCTTTGTCAAAGGGCGTTCTACTTCTTCGTCCTTACTACATTACACACAGAAATCACAATAGCGTGATGCATCAAATGAACAAATCCACAAGGTCCGTTATGAGGATTCGAACCTGCGTCTGAGAACATCCCAATGGGAATTATCAGGGGAAAGCGGCAAGCCATTACGACTATAGCACTGGGAAGAGGTAAGGATAAGGATTTGGGATGGGAAGGAAGGAAGGAATGGTGCCCAACCACTTGGACGGTCGGGGATTGAACACCAGTCCAGATTCGCCAGGTCGCCGAACTGGTCTCCGAACTCGCCGACCATCCCGGTCTCACTGACCTGGTCGGCGGGTGGATATTTTTTCCTGGTTTTAAAATTAATTTTGAAATAAATCATTTTTTTCCTGATTTTGAAAAAAAAATCCTGGTTTATGTCTCGGAGAGGCTGCAGGATCCAAGTAATTCAGGAGAATTTATGGTTGCAATTCTTTTTACCATGTCGTAGCTCAGTCGATTAAGACAGAATCTGGGATGCTCTCGGACACAGGTTCGAATCCTCGTCACGGCCCTTGTGGATTTGTTCAAGGTTTACATGCATTAATAGCACAAGAGAATGTGTGGATTGAGTGTATGTTAAGCATGTTTAGGGATTTAAACAGAGGGAAGTCTGAATGGCTAATTTAATAGGGATAATACTGGTTATAAAGGATAAAAATGAGCACTTATGTATTTGTGAAATTAAAGTAAAGATTTACACCAAGTCTTTTGCACTCTCTTGAGTACTTTGTCAAAGTCTGAGTGTGTGGTTGGGACGAGACTTGCATCTTAACGACCTAATCGTTAAGATGTAAGTCTCATCCTAACCACACACTCAGACTTTATTAAGGGGGCGTCTGCTGCTGATACATGAAAGTTGTTCAATGTCAACCAATATTATTTGACTAGTTGTACATGAAAAGTGCTGAAATTGTCCCAAGTTTCAGTACTGCCTTTTTTGTCTCCCTTTCAGTAGAAAGGGAAATTTTTTTTCAACGTTTTTTACACATTTTCAAGTTCACACTTCAGAACACACGTTTCAGATGTAATTATTCTGTGACACTTTTCTGACACATTAGCATATAATAAAGGACCTTGACATATAGAATTTCCAAAACATCTTTAATTTTCCTAATACAAATGTTCAAAGTTCCCAAAATTTTTTTTTGCAAATATGGCATGTTTATTGCTATTATAAAATCAATAAATGAACTTAAAGAAAAATGAAAACTCTCCAATGTAGAGAGATGCCCTCAATATATACTGTGTAAGTTTCATGTAAATTGAACAAAAAAAGAATCAGTTTTGTAAACGTTTGTGTCAATTGAAAAAAAACAGAAATGAATAAAGTCTAAGGTTCTAAAATCTGTAGCTGAGGTTGACATTAACCAATTTTCTCAAAAATTGGCAACCTTACAGATAGGCTTACGTACAGTCAGGTGTGAAAGTTTGATGCAAATCGCTCGAAAAAAATGAAAAAAAAAAATACTTTTTTTTTTCTTAAATTGTTTTTTTCAATTAAACTAATTATAATATTTGTTTAATATATGCTATTGTGATAGCATAGAGTCATAGCTATGATTTCAGTTGACACTTTTGATTGATAGTCGATTTTGACCATTTTGGCATAATTTTCACAACTACTTCAATATTTTTTCTCCCTTCCTATTTATGCTACAATGCTGAAACTTGGACCAGATGAAACACTTTTCATATAGAACTTGTCAAAAAAGTTTGATTGAAATCGAACAAGTTTTCATTTTTGCATTTTTATAACCAGACGCCTGCCAGCACCCAGGAGAGTGGAAAAGACTTGGTGTAAATCTTTACATAAATTTGACAAATACATAAGTGTTATTTTTACTATGGTATTACTATGGGCACCATTCCTTCCTTCCTTCCCATCCCAAATCCTTATCCTTACCTCTTCCCAGTGCTATAGTCGTAATGGCTTGCCGCTTTCCCCTGATAATTCCAATTGGGATGTTCTCAGACGCAGGTTCGAATCCTCATAACGGACCTTGTGGATTTGTTCATTTGATGCATCACGCTATTGTGATTTCTGTGTGTAATGTAGTAAGGACGAAGAAGTAGAACGCCCTTTGACAAAGCGCGAGACCATGGGGGAATTGCGTAAAATCCTGGTTTGTGTCTCGGAGAGGCTGCAGGATCCAAATAAATTCAGTAGAATTTCTGGTTGCAATTCTTTTACCATGTCGGGCTCAGTTGATTAAGGCAGCGTCTGGGAAGCTCTCAGATACAGATTGGAATCCTCGTCACGGCCCTTGTGGATTTGTTCATTTGATGCACAGGATATTGTGATTTCTTTGTACTATAATCCTTATTCCTGTATGCTAATCCTGATCTGAAACTCTTCCTTGATAATAATAGAAACCAGGAGCACCAAACCAGAAATAAATATATCTTTCATATCCCCAGAGTCTGACTAAATCTGTGCAAACACTCAAAGCAAATAAATGGATCCTGTGTATGGCACTCACTCCCTAATGAATTAAAAAAAAAATCCATCCTATACGTTATTCAAAAGTAAAACCAAAAAGTTATTCAAAAGTAAAACCAAAAAGTTATTCAAAATAAAATCAAAATAAGTATAATCTTATTAGTTTGTAAATACTATTGGTAATTGTTGGATCTACAAAACAATAGTAATTTTAAGTAAAGTAATGTACTTTCAGTAAGTTATATAAAGTACTATACCGCATTAAAAACTTCAGTGTACTCCAGAACATTGGTCTGGGTGGGGTTAGATAATGTTGTAGTCTCTATTACGTAGTGTTTTATATTTGTATACATGTATGAGTATGTGGTTTTAGATAAACTATAAACAGTATTTTACTACAGAAAGTATTATGAAACTTAGATAAAACTTATTCCAATTCAAATTAATTAGCTTTGTCAATATTTAATTTGCCATGAATATATTAAAATGTAGACCTGTAGCTACTAACTTACTCATCAACTTTAGTTAGGGGTGAACTTATTCCATCAGCAACTAAAATTAGTATGTTGGAAAAGCATATTGACAATTGGTTTCTCATAGTTAAAATGAACAGCAGTTAATATTGACTTATTAAATATTTAAATAATAACTTACAATAGTAATTTTTATTTGTCTTTCCATAAAATATGTATTTACTATGAATTATGGATATACAAAGCATATATATTACCGGATCATCCAGTCATATAAGCATATTTTTCTGGTATGATGAGATCCGTCAGGGATCTGCGACGAACGTACTGTATTTTAAGTTAACGTTGCGTAAGGTTGTGTAGTCGAGGAAAATTTGACATATGTATGTCTTACGTAAATCTACTTGTGATCTGGAGGTGTTGTGATGTGAAGCGGTGTTCTTAAGAGTATCAGCGATCGCAAGTAGCGATCGCGACGTAAGTGCAACGAATAGTGATACAATCCGTCTTCATAAAATAAGGCCAGGCCAAAGTCCCTTCCATGCACCCGGTAAACCCCCTGTTTATGAAACCAAAACGCTTTACACACGACTCACAACTGATATATCCAAATACTTCTCAAACAAGTGCTTCACTGACGAATTTTGGCCGGAACACAATGCTGTAAAGGCCAAACCCCCCGAACTACAAATACAAGTAATCGCCAACAGAACCTAAACACCTAACCTGAGCCTGAAAACGGCTACCATTAGAGAGTATTATTGAAGGCAATTCTCGAGCCACACGACATGGGCGAGTTCCCCCGACCATCTTTGCCCACTGCTACGTATGTCCAACAAATGAACAAGATCGGTCGCACGCGCACACCGGACCCCGAGGTGCTTGGGCTCTGGAACCACACGACATGTGCGAGGAGGGCCGCCTTCGCCTGCAAGTTACGTATGTCTAACAAGACGCAATGGTCGGTCGCTCACACACCGGACTCAAAATACCTCAGTCTATGTGGCATTTGCCCCGTGACAGACAGGCAGGTTCCCCATTTGCTCCGGTGAACAGAAGCAGTTCGCTACCGCAACTGAATGAATGTATTGCACTTATTATAAAATTCCTACCGCATTCCTAACTGAAGAATGTATTGCACTTATTATAAAATCGCACGACGTTTCGAACCTACATGGTTCATTCTCAAGTGATAAGAAATTACAACTCTCAGTAGATTTATACCAGTACGGGTTCAGGTGAAAACATAAGTGGAATAAGGGGAAAATAGGGGCACATACAATGATTAATCAGGTGTAATAGGCCTATTATGTTGAGGAGTGTCTTGTGTGTTGGCATCGTCATGTTCCGGTCTTGTTCTTACTCTCATGGTGGGTAGAGGAAATAGTTCCGAAATTTGAGTATTCATGGTAGGTTGTTCTATTTTTATGTGCATTGCTTCAAGAATTTGTAATCTTCTTACATCTTGGGTTTTGTCTATTATTCAAGTATTTTTATTCAACATTTCTCTTGTTAGGGTGATGTCATGGGCTTGTCTCGTGTGATTTCTGGGGGCACCAAATTGAAGATGACATGTCAAACGTCTCGTCAGCTTGGTCAACGTCATACCTATGTACTTAGATTGAAGGTTACATCCTTCGTGGGGGGCAAGTGTACATGTATACAACGCTTGACTTCTGTTAAGGGTTCTCCGTCGGCTTCGGGCTGTTTTTGTTAAGGAGGTCGAAGTCTTCTTTGTTTTGTAGGATATGATCAGGTCTATGTTTTGGTTAGGAATAATGCTTTTTACTTCTATACGGATTATTTCCTTCATTATTCTTTGTTCTTTTTTATGCTCACTGTGCATAGTTGATTTGTAATATAGTTTTTTGGATGTATTCTGGTTTCTGTTCTAGGTTCAGGATTGTACCATCGGTCCAAGTGTCTTTTTTTAGCAGCGTTTATTTCCGTGTTTCTGTATCCATTGTTCACAAATACCTGAGTTATTCTTTCAAATTCTCTACACACGTTGCTCCATTCGAAGCAGTGGGTAAGCGCTCGACGGATATAAGCATTGAGCACGCTGACTTTGTATCTTTGGAGGCATTCACTTTTACCGTTCAGACATGTTGGTGGGCTTAGTGTATACACTGGTTATTAGAGAGGTTCTTGTTTTTGTTATTAGTACGTCCAAGAAAGGCAAACTGTTATTTTCACTATTTTCATGTGTAAATTGGAGTACTGACTCTCTCTCTAGATGGCCTTTTAGATCAATAAGTTCGTTTGAGTCTTTTACTATGAGGAATATGTCATCTACATAACGGATTCATACAGATGGTTTTTGTCTGTTACTGAAGACTCTGTCTTCGATGGTTCCCATATAGAAATTAGCGAATAAAACTCCTAAGGGGGAGACCATTGCTATTCCGTTTATTTGTAGATACATGTCTCCTTACGGACTGATGAAAGGGGGCTTCCTTTGTACATGCCTCGAGAAGACTTCAATTGTGGCTCGGGTTTGTCTAATTAGGGGGTGCTCTCGTCACTATATACTCTGTCCAGTATCATTTCTATTGTTGTGTCGACTGGGACGTTGGTAAATAGGGATTCGACGTCCAGGGAGGTAATGATTCTATCGGGCTGAGTTGTTTTGATTAATTCTAGGAAATCTGCTGATGATTGTAGCCTGTAGTTGCTTGGGGTGTATGGAGTTAGGAGTTCGTTAAGTCTTTTTGCCAGATAATAGGTTGGAGTTGGTATTTGGCTGATTATTGGACGTAGTGGGTTACCTGGTTTGTGTGTCTTAACATTGCCATAGGCATTTCCTAAGCCATAGTCGCCTTGGAGATTAGTGAAACGAACACTACCTTTCTTTGCATTGATTGCAGTAATAGTTACGTTCACTTTGCATTTAAGGTCTTCCACTGGGTTCCTCGTGATTCGTTGAAATTTGGTGTCATCTCTAAGGATGTCGCTAATTTTGTTCATGTATTCTTGGGTAGGAATCAATACATATGCTGCTGTCTTGTCGGCTTTTCTTATTGATACATCTTTCAGATTTTTTAGTTGTTTTGCTGCTTCTTTGAGTCGTGGGGTTAAGATTGTAGATGAGTATGTTCCTCGTTTTTTCCTGGCTTAGAAGCTAAGGAGCACACCTTAGGAAATAGGTAAGTCTGGGCAAAGCCAGGCACCTTGTGAGAAGGTACACAGCATCGGGAGCATCCAAAGTTCCTATTCTTCCCTCCATCCTCCTCAGGTCGTTCGGCTTTTCTTCGAGGACTACCTCAATGGCGCTCGATCCCAGAGGCGCCACTAGCAGCACACTGTTGGTGGGAGCGATCACTTGGGCTCCTAGCACTAATATTCGTACTGCATCTATGATTGGTTGGATGGATGAGATGACTTCACACTTTGATGGGTTTAGGGTGAGGCCTAACTCCTCTCCCTTAGATTTCACTAGCTGTAGATCTTCTAGGAGGGATTCCTGTGTCCCTACCAGGGTTCCATCGTCCAGGAACCAGATGTTGAATTCGCTGGACAACCTGCTTGTGACCTCTTTAGCTGCCATGCAGAAAAGGAAAGGAGCACGCGGGTCTCCCTGCTGGACACCTTCTGCAGAAACAACTTCATGTTCCCCAAACAACAGTGTCAATTCCCTACTGTACCCTGCTGAGACGAAGGAGAGTAGACAAGGAAAGCTTGTTCGAACTGCTTCCAGTACCACATCCCGTTTTACCTGGTTGAAGGCATTTTTAAAGTCTAATTATTTAATGCCTTAATTTCTGGGAGGTGCTTAATATAAACTAGTGTTGCATGAACTGCTGCTTCAGAGCCATGAGGGACACCAAAACCTAGTTGATGGGGTCGAAGCATCGTTGCGCGTCTCTGCTAATGTTTCTGAGAGCTGCCCTAGCAACAAGGCGCCGAAGTGTGTTACCCACGGCAATGGGTCTGACTCCACCACCCTTCTTCTTAAGGGCACAAAGGGATGCTCCGAAGAAGAAGGGTTTAATTGTATCTGGGATCAATCCAAAGAGGAAATCGTTGACAAATTTCGTGACCTCTGACAATAGTCTCGGCAACTTCCCCGAGAACTGGATTTACCATCTCCTTGAGGTGCTGAGGCAAAGTGTATCCCCCTGCTGAGCCTGGCGGAAATGACATGATGGCTTTGTGTACCTCTGACGCTAGGAGGAATAGAGGTCCCATGTCTGGGACATTTGTTTCCCGAGCAGTGGGTTCCCACGATACTCTAGGAGGGTGAGTCTCTCTCAGTGAGTCGACGGTGCTTCTCTCTCAGTGAGTCGGCGGTAGCGGGATTTCTAGGGGCGACCGGTCTTCGCTGGTAAGCAACCTAATTACTCTTACTGTGTTGCCCTCTTAAATTTTTTTCGGCACTTGTGTTTCTAGTTTAAAATTGTCATTGGAACTCTTGTGTCTGTCACGACGGTTTTTGCTTTGAGGAGGGATGGGGATCAAGTTGTCGGGTCTGGGGAAATTATTTATTGCCCTAGTGACTGATGAGGCTAGCGACTTGCCTCCTCTTGCAGGTACGCCTAAGCAAATATTGCCAAACAGGAGCAAATTATACCATGCATTAATGGTGGCCGCGGCATTAAGATTTGCAGACTGTTCATTCGCTTTCCTTTGAAGGTCTGTATATTTCGCTGCTGCAAATGGGCGCGCTGCTTTAGGAATGAGGGGAAGAGTTCTGGAGGTGGAGGCTTTGATGGCCCCCAGGAGGTCATCTGATGACATGTAGTTTGTTGAGATGTGAGGGGGTGCCGGAGGGACCTGTGGGCCTTCTCTTCTTGTGAGTTTTCACAAGAAGAGTTTTCATATATATATATATATATATATATATATATATATATATATATATATATATATATATATATATATATATATATATATATATATATATATATATATATATATATATATATATATATATATATATATATATATATATATATATATATATATATATATATGTATATGTATATATATATATATATATATATATATATATATATATATATATATATATATATATATATATATATATATATATAAAAGCCGAAAAAGTTAGGTTAGGAGGTTAGGTAGGTTAGGTAGTCGAAAAACAATTAATTCATGAATACTTGGGTTATTAGGCAAATCAGGCCTTGCACAGTAGGCTAAGAAGTGCGTTCTGGCTACTAGGTACGGTATATATATATATATATATATATATATATATATATATATATATATATATATATATATATATATATATATATATATATATATATATATATATATATATATATATATATATATATATATATATGTCGTACCTAGTAGCCAGAACGCACTTCTCAGCCTACTATGCAAGGCCCGATTTGCCTAATAAGCCAAGTTTTCATTAATTAATATATTTTCTCTAATTTTTTTCTTATGAATTGATAAAGCTACCCATTTCATTATGTATGAGGTTAATTTTTTTTATTGGAGTTAAAATTCACGTAGATATATGACCGAACCTAACCAACCCTACCTAACCTAACCTAACCTATCTTTATAGGTTAGGTTAGGTTAGGTGGCCGAAAAAGTTAGGTTAGGTTAGGTTAGGTAGGTTAGGTAGTCGAAAAACAATTAATTCATGAAAACTTAGCTTATTAGGCAAATCGGGCCTTGCATATTAGGCAGAGAAGTGCGTTCTGGCTACTAGGTACGACATATATATATATATATATATATATGTCGTACCTAGTAGCCAGAACTCACTTCTCAGCCTACTATTCAAGGCCCGATTTGCCTAATAAGCCAAGTTTTCCTGAATTAATATATTTACTATAATTTTTTTCTTATGAAATGATAAAGCTACCCTTTTCACTATGTATGAGGTCAATTTTTTTTATTGGAGTTAAAATTAACGTAGATATATGACCGAACCTAACCAATCCTACCTAACCTAA